AAAAGCAAGGAAGCTCAAACGGGCATGGAGTAAGACCCGGGGGTCCTGCCTCGCCGCAGCCGCTCCGGAAATCCCACTGCGTTGGGTGAGGCTGCCTTCAGGTACCTGAGACCCGAGACGCCAACCATGCGGAAGCCCGAGGGATTTATTTCTGGATGAACACGCTGAGGATGGCGTCGTGATACAAACAAATAACGCGGGTCTGTCTAAATGCTCGCTGATCCGACTTAAAATTTCCATATAGGTCTTGTAAAAAACGGCAGAACTGTACAGTAAAAGGAAATTTTCCTGTTTTGTTTTGCCTTCTGAGAAACACTTTCCCATTAGGCGTGTTTACTCGGGAGTAAGTTCCACTTGTTTCAGTCATGAGGTTTACCAAAGTGAACGGCTTTAAAAAGAAAACCAAGTCAGCGGTGGGATGGAATCGGGTGAAAGACGATGGCCACGATCCAGCCATAGTAAAGTACTTTTCAGGCTGTCCTTGATAAACCTTTTTATTTGGATTCAAAGCGAAACCGACTGAAATGACAAGAGGATTACTTCGAAGTAAAGGTCGGTAGAATCGGATTGTAGGTCCCTTCTGTTTCAATAGAAGCTGCGTAAGTGGGGACAAGTCTCATTTGATGGCACTGAGATATACTTCCGAGTAAACATGCATGGGAGCAAAGAGGCAGGGGGTGGCATCTATTCCATCGTGCAATCTGACCCTACGCCTCTACTCGAATTTGAGACCTGTTGGTTTCTATAGAACCGACTTAACTCCTCCCAGAAAAGGTCTTAAAAAGAGCTTCCTTTATTTGGATCGGGCCCATTCATTTTCTATCTGCTGCGGGGGCGAAGTCGACAAATTAACTCAAATGACGTATCAGCAAACTCCTGAAAGTATTTGTACTACCATTCTCCCCAATACATTTTGGCTCCGAGTTTAAGTAAAACCAAAGCCAGACCCAAATTTCCCTACATTAATCGCGTCCTCTTTTCTTCGTTCTGCCAATGGCAAGATATACATCACATGAAGACCGCCCCCCCCTTTAGAACGGTCCTGGAGTTCCATTTCATTTTCATACCAATCCTTGAGTGAGTAAGCGTTCTCATCCGCCAATACGTGCTTTGGATCCGGATCCGGTGTCTAATCACTTTCAAACCAGGATTTGTCTCTGCCTGTTCTTTTTGTCCCCTATTCTGCAGTCCCTACACAGGAATCCTGAGCACCAACTTGTCTTTTTTTAGAAATCGATACGTTAAATCAATTATTATGGCTCGATTTGCAAGCGACCCCAGCCTTCTGGGTTTTAGAGACTAAAATATCCATGGGTCCTTTCAGATGGCCCGTTTCCGCATCTGTGTTGATAGTGCATTGTGTGTTTAATAAATAAATGAGCATGATGGTGGTGTTAGGGATTAAGGTTAAGGTTAAGGTTAGTTAGGTATTGCATTGATCCGAATTCCTCGGAAGAAACCGGTTGGCGCAGCATAAATCAACGGGCGAGTTTGCAGCAGAATTCGCTTGCGGAGCCGGAAGAGGGAAGGGGGAGAGTCTGGAGAAAAGCTGAGGTCCTTGTGGCTAAAAACTAACCAGCCACGGTTGGCTGAAAGAGTTGGTGCAGGGAATCCCAAATGGGGAGGGGCGCTGGTGCTCTCAGGTTCTGCCCGATCGCTTCTCAGAGGTGGAGGACCAAACTGAGAACAAGATGCCAGACTAGGTGGGCCTTTGGTCTGATCCAGCAGGGCTCTTCTTATGTTCTCGTGTAAAGAAAAGCGAGCTTTCGCTCTTAAATTGTTGCTTGTTGGCGGTACCCTGATTCAATAACACCGGTCACCGCTCAACTGACACTGCTTAACTTTTTCATTCTCATCCGTAAAACGAAGATGACGCCTAAACGGATGCTGTGCATATGATTCCCCCCCCCCCCGTTACTCTTGATACCCTCCCTTCTATTGCCTTCTCCTCTGTCAAGAAATAAAATTCACTGTATATCCCTCGGGGCATGTTACTGTTCTACCGTTGCGCAAAGGGCCGCGTAATTGTGTTTCATTAGCGCTATCGTCGCTCCCGCTGCTGCGGTTTTCCCAGCTGAGTGGTGGAGAGCACGCTTCGTAAGCAGAACGCCCCGGGGTGAAGCCAGGCATCTCCAAATACCGCCTGCAGACATGCCACATAGACCCACGTCTGAAATCCTGGACAGAGATGCTGCCAGTCGCGAATAGGCACGACTGAGCTGCATGAGGCCAATGTAAAGCAGCTTCCGAATAGAGAGACTTTGCGGGCAGGTTGCGGGAAAAGGTCTCTGCAAGCCCAGTGCCAAAGCGCATCCTTTTTGCTTGCGAAAGGTCTCCAGTTCAGTTTTGAACCAGAGCTTCTGCCAAGCAGAAGAGGCGCTACTGAGCTGGATGGCAGCTGCCTATGGAAGAGGTTTGCAGGCTCTCTATGGGCTGCGGTTCAGTGGTTAGAGCACGCCTTTGTTCGAGAAAGATCCCAAGTTGAGTCCCCCAGCGACGGGGCGCAATTGCTAGGGAGCCAGATCAGAAATGGACCGCGTGGCACTTAGAAAGAGACCAGTGGCCAGGCTTGTGGCTGTTCTCTTTCTTCGCTTCTTCACTATCCTAAGGTGGGGTGAAAGCCACAGGCTTGCAGGGCTCTAAAGGGGAGGAGACAAAACCGTGGAGGAGCCGAAATCTGTCAACAACAGCCATTGGCTAGGACAGTCACAAAGAGAACCTCCATGGTTAATATAGCACGGGAGGGAGGGAGAGGCTGTAGCCCTTGTGGGCTTCCTGGCTGGCCCCTATGAGAGACTGAACATAGGACTACGACATGGATCTAACAAGATTCTTATGAACACACACACACACACACGTGTTAGAAAGGCTTTGGTTCTGAAGTGGCTATAAATTGGGCTTTGTGGATTGCCACTGAAAAACCCGCTACACTGATGTTCTCTCCTGCCTTGTGGTATATTTATAATTTTCCATTTCTTAACACCCGAGGCCAGCATTTCCCATCCCCAAACCGCTTCCGGCGGAGATCACACGCTCAGGGGTGGGTGAAAGCAGCCTCCGAAAGTGACCCTCCTTCCATCGGATTTGGCAGTATGCGGTTGCCTTGTAGTTATTATTATTATTATTTCCTTAAAGGTGGGTGAGAAATGCAACTAGGCTCTCAGCTCCTCCCCACGCCCCCCGGGTTTGTAAAGATGTTTATTTTAGATTAAGAGTCAGCTCCGTGGGTTTCCAGTCCTTCGCCCCCCCCGCCCCGCCCCCGATAAAGGACTCACCGGCTTCTTGTGGGTGGAAGGCAGGGGCACTTGCTTGCAGAGAGCAATGCGGTGAGGTTGCGGGTCTGAAGCCTTGGAGAGGAAAACAGAAGAATAAACCACGTTAAAGCCATAATGGTCACACGATGCAATCTCGGGCGCACTTACTCGGGTGTAGACCCAATTTAACTCAGTGGGCTAACATCTTAGTTAAATAAACAGGTTGAAGGCTGTGCATTAAATCGAATTAGCTGGATTTAATTTGTATTTGGAAGATCAGTGCAGAATAAGAGCCTGACAGGTTCTAGACTGAGGTCGCCGCGATACTATATGCATTTATTTGCATATTAAACGCGGTGTAATTCTCTGAGGTGAAGGCACACAATTCGATCTTTATTGACAAATCCCATGCAGTCCGTCCGGGATTCTTCCCAAGTTAGTGTGTATAAGATTTCAGCTTTATTTGGAACGGACACTCTCAGCAACCAGACGTCTCGATAGGACTTTGAGCAACTCTGGAGGTTTGATTTTCTTGCTTAGGGTGGGCTGACCCATTCCTCGCCTACCTAAAATTAGTTACCAACCCTTTGAATTACATCGCCTTAAATTCTTTTGGTTTTCCTTTTTATTCGGTCTGAAAATCAGATCACCTTTGAGGCTGCAAATAATATAAAAGAAATCACATTTGTTCCGACCGAATAAAGTTTGGGGAGAAAAATCCAAACAAACCGAGACCGAGTCCCCACGTGTTCTCTTCTTTTGCAAAGAGAGCAGGCGGGGCTGCTGCGCGAGCGGTGTGGCTTCGCCAGGGCCCGCCTCCTTCCTGCCGCGCCCTCTTCCTCTGTCATTTTCTCAGGCTTGGCCTTCCCCCGGTTTTCTGATTGGCTGTCCCCGCTGCCATTCCACCACGCTTCGTCCCTCCCCCTCCCGCGCCAGCCTCTGAGTAAATAAAGTAAAAAACCCCGCTGTAACCGCTGACAGTTTTTGACTGGTTTCAGAAGCGCAAAGAGGAGTTTGGAAAGAGCAGGCAGTGGGTGGAGATGATCTAGGGTTACACGCGACTGCCAGGCGCAGCAGGAAATGGATGCAGAATAACGATCCTTGAAAAGGGAAACAACCTGTTGAGGTTCTTTGGCCAGCGCGCAATTGACAGTGCAGGCGCGAAGCGGGGCGCAAGGGAGCGCGGGCCCTTCCGCTGCCTTTGGGCGCTCGGCAAAGCCTCGCTGCGGCGCTCCACGCGAAGTTTATTTTGTCTGATCCCAGTTTGTTTTGACTGGAGGGAAGAGGCCGCAAACAGGGAGCTGGACGCCGAGTCGCGCGCTCCAGTCGCGGGGCAGGAGGAGCCAGCTTGCTTTTGCGCCGAGAGAGACTCCCTGGCTGCTCCTCTGGCCGCCCACGGGTAGCTTTGCCGCCCGCCCGCCCGAGCGCCCCGAGATCCGGGCTGCGCTTGAGGACTTGCGCGGGAGGGGAGGGCGGCGGCGGCGGAGGCAGAGGCAGCATCCGGATCGGATTTCTCGACCCTGGGGGAAGCTTCCGAGAGGGCGCCTTCGCTCGCCGCCTGCCAGGCGAGACCAGGAGGAAGGAGCCCCTTGGCGAAAGTTGCGCCTGGTCCGCTGAGCGGCGTCCGTCGGCACTGGGGGCGCCCAGCGTGGGCTCGCGGGGGCCGAGCGGCTGGGAGCGGGCAGCCGCCGTGCGCTCTTGGGCACCTGGCCGCGTGCGCCCCGCTCCGCAGCCCCGCGCGCCTCCCTCGCCTCTCGGCTGCTGCGGCCTCCTCGCCCCGGCCCCCCTAACGCCCGCTGTTGTGATGCGTATTCCCGTAGACCCCAGCACCAGCAGGCGCTTCACACCTCCCTCCACGGCCTTCCCCTGCGGCAAGATGGGCGAGAACAGCGGCGCCCTCAACGCGCCGGCCCCGGGAAGTCGCAGCCGGCCGGAGGCGCGCTCCGTGGTGGACGTCCTGGCCGATCACCCCGGCGAGCTCGTGAGGACCGACAGCCCCAACTTCTTGTGCTCCGTCCTGCCTTCGCACTGGAGGTGCAACAAGACGCTCCCCGTGGCCTTCAAGGTAAGCCGAGGGAAAGCGAGCGAGGGCGGCGGGGAGGGGAGAGAAAGGGAAGATAGACGTGGAGATGGAGAGGGGCGGGTGGGTGGGAGAGAGGCGCGCAGATGTTTCCTGCCCAGCCAGCTTCCCAAGCGCCCAGGAGAACTAGTGGTTTAACGGAAAAAAGGGCAACGGGAGAGGAGGGGAGGGGGAGGAGGAGGGTGGGTGGGGGAGCAGAAACTTTCCCCCGTGGCCAAGTCACCCTCGTGTTGCCCCGCAAGGCGCTGTACAGACGCGTCTCCCAAACCAGAGAGTGCCCCGACCAGCCAATTCTGGGAGCGCGAGTGCTCTTTAGTCATGAAACCGCAACCCTCGCCAGAGCCCGCACTTTAAAGCGTCGGTTCTGCTTCTTGGGAGCTAAGCCCCATTGAACGCAGACAGACTAACTTCTGTGCAGCGAGGCATAGGATCGCATTGCTATAAATGCCTCCGAATACCTCCGCAGTCTTTGACCAAACTGCGGGAGGTAGTGGAGGACAGAGGTGCCTGGCGTGCTCTGGTCCATGGGGTCACGAAGAGTCGGACACGACTAAACAACAACAACCACCTCCGCAGTCGGCTCGGCTGGGAGTCCAGGCTCGTGGGTCTCATAGGCTCTCCACCGTCCGGTTGCAATTCTGTTGCTCGCTTACCTGACAGTTAACCCCATTGAATTCAATGGCATTTTACTTCGGAGGTGGATAGGATTGCACTGTGAAGGCCTCAGCCTAAGGCTGCAAAACCGAAACACACTTGGCTAGGGAGCCTGTTCTATGGAACACAGGGGGACTTGTTTCCGAGTAAACGTGGTCCGGTGTAAACGACCACAGTTACTTGTGTTGGGCAAGAGAATCCGGGTGATTTAGGGGTCAAGCAAAAGGCGGCCATTGGTCCATCTAGTTCAGCACTGTCTGCACGGACTGGCAGCGGTTCTCCGCTGTCTCAGACACTGACCTGTCCCAGCTCTACGTGAAGTTTCCAGGGATGGAACATGGAACGCTCTGCCCCTGAGCTGGGCCCTTCCCCATGTGTCAAATGCCAAATCTTATTTATATCCAAAGGCCTTCCCCCTAATCTTCACCTACTTCTCCATACTCACGCACAGTCCGCTTTAAAGCACCTCCAATAAGTGTCAATTGAATGCATTTAATTCCTTTTCTCTCGCCTCCTACCTACGCTCCAGGCGGCTTCCAATGTAAGAAAATACAATGCAAACTGGGTATGGAGATATAGATCACTGTGTTGGTTGTTGTTGTTTTTTTTAAAAAAGAAACTTTTTAAAACCCAGATCAGTAATAGTAAAGATTCTAGTCCCGAAACCATTGGCTTTTAAAATCGGAGCTGAGTGCCGTTGTGCCTTGTGCATATTACAGCTCCCCCTCCCAGTTCCAAATAATGTATCCCCATCCTTTCAACCGCAGCCTACTAGAAATCGGGAAAGCAACGTCCTTAAAGGCAGGCTCCTCGCACGCAGTGGATTTGACCCCAGCGTCACTTCAGGATTTTGGATGCAAAGGAGGATGGCTCTCCCTCGCGGTTTTTTGAATATGATAGGGAACGGAGGACGAAATAGCCCCTTTAAAGAATTAAATAAAATCAACCGAAACTCCTTTTTCTAGCCGGACTGGATGTCCGATTCGAATTCAAGAGTAGGGTGTGGGCTAAGCCTTATCCCCAAACCTGAGTGATAATACCTGGTCGCTCTAAATATGATCGGCCGTAACCTTGGGCGCATTTTCTTAACCAAGAGAAATGTTGCTGTGGTCGCGACGGCTTGCAAACCCCAAGGCACTGTAGTTAAGTAGAAGTAGTAGTGGTGGTAGTAACCGCCACAGCCACCGGCTCTCTAGGGAAGAAACCCTGCTATCCTATTCACACACCCCAAGAGCTCTCTTTCCCCCTACTAATTAGTATATTCCGTAAAAACCAGTGATCCCTCCAGATCGTCGGAGGGGCTTCTACTGAAGTCCGCCGGATCCCACTGCTTGCTTAATGGAACTTCCTTCCGAGGAAATGTTGGGCTGCGCTGCTTCAGTCAGAAATGTTGCTTTGCTCTCTAGAGACTATTCGAAGGCTGCTGCCCTTCCCCAATTCATCTCAGTTCTCGTTTTTGCTATTTAAAAATGGCAGGGCTTGCTGTTCTGCAACCCTCAGGCCAGAGCAGCTCCAGGCAACTTTTTGAAGAAGGCGAGATGCCCGGGGGAGTCGGCATTTGGTTTGTCTTAAGGTTCTGGTCCTCGTGGGCGCAGGGATCTGTATTGCTTAAAACACCAGGCTCTGTTAGTTTGGCAGAGTTGAAGCCCTGGTTACTATATTTAGATAGATTGCCATTAGATAAGTTAGAAGAGTTATTATGTGCGTGCGCGCGCACAACGCAATATGTAGCCTGGCATCACGTCCCAAGCACACCCGAGGTATTTGGAACTAAATTTAATCGAAATCAGCGGCACAGCTTCTGAGCAAATTGCAGGTTAATAATGACTTTAGGTATCTCCTTAACATACTTTTGACTCCTTTGCCTTCAGGGTGTATGGAGTATTTAAAACGGGTGAGCACTCTCCTCCTTCACGGTGCCTGCCTGCATAGTTATAAAAAATCAGGGTTCAAATCCCTCTGCCCCTTCCTCCTTATGTCTGCTTTTCGGGGTTGTGTTCTCCTGGGGCAAAGACCTGCTCAGCTGCAAAGTCCCCGCGTACTTGGAAGGCGCCATCGTGAATCATCGTTTAAACGGATCCGATGTGGTTTGAAGGCAGCTTGTCTCCTAAGCCCTCTTTTACTAGGGAGCAAGTCATGTTGGGTTCTTGCTCGTCAGCAAACTTGTCGGCGCCCCCCAGTGTATAAGCCCCCTTGGAGCCTGCTCCGGGCTTAGCAGGTTTCTGGACAGGAGCCCTGAAAACCACAGGGGCCTCTTCGTCCCTTTGGAAGACTCACTGCTTCCACCTTGGTGGGTCCCAGGATCACACCCCCCGCTGCCTAAACCTCTTTCTGTGTCCCAGCTTTTCATTCCACCCAGTAATGAAGCTGGCCTACATTGTGCGCCCCCCCCCTTCCTGGGACTTTGAGTGATGCGCTTATTTTTAATTTTTAAAAAGCAACATTTCCTCAGCGTTGTTTTGCCCCCAAGCTCCCAGCCTCTTCTCTGATTGTTCCCTTCAGTTAGTAGCGACGATCAGGAAACTTTGAAGTTTAAAAGGAGTTTAGGCTAATTAACTAACTGGGGTTTAAAAAACAAAAAACAAAAAACAAAGGAGGAGGAAGATGTAATCTTCAAGGAAAAAGCAGAGCAACCCAACGGTATCTGATCAATCCTGTTTCCCTTTCCCCTTCCTCTTATCTTTCTTAATAAGCGTTTGCTCCGCTGCTGATCTCGCCACAGCTATTTTAATTCTTTCTTAATTTTAATCCCTTGCCTCTCAAAGGGTTACAAAAATCACCACTCTTTTTTGATCTGCCATTGAGCTTGTACGTTTTGTTCTAGGGGCGTTTATTTCCCAGTAAGCCTCCGCTGGATCTCAACTCCATTGCCAAGGCCTCGATTGCCTGAGGTCTAGATCCTTTTCTGTTTTCTTTTCTTTTTGTTTTCAGGTTTATGCCCAGCTAGATGTATGGGATGATGATGATGATGATTATACTACAAGATCCTTTTACACGGGCGTTTATAAAAGTTTAGCAAAACTAACCTCAATACTTTCAAGTAATTGAATTCCTGGTGGGTTGTCAGATGAATTGTGGTTATTATTTACATCAGTGCAAATGGTGTGCAGAGTAACATGGTCCAGCTGTAGCGCGGAAGTTCTAGGTAGTTGTCCTAGCTGATGGCCACAGAGAGATCTTTCCCCTTCCTCACTGTCACGTACATCTAAAGCGGTAACCATCGCCAGCAATTTGCATGGTTTAACCACGTACTGCGGGAGCAGACAATGCGGTGGCTTCCAGATGTTGGTGGACTACAGCTCCCATCAGCTGAAGCCAACATAGTCAATGGTCGGGAACGATGGGATTTGTAGTCCAACAGCACCTCAGCTATTCCAGACATTAGCTGCATACTCACTATACAAGTAAAATACCCCGAAAGGGATTCTGAGAACTGTAGTTTACCACTCACAGAGCTACATTTCCAGCACTCTTAAGAAACTACAGTTGCTAGGATTCCTCTCTCTCACTCTATCTGTGTGTGTGTGCTTCAAATATAAGGGATGCATGCAGCCAAGCGCGCACCCTCTCTCTCGCTCCCCCCAAGATTTTGCACAGCCTCCAAATCCAGCCGCAAGCGAAACTCTTCTAGGCTGCAGCCCCATTTCCCGGGAATAAGCCCCACTGCACCCACTGGGAGTTCCTTCTGCGCAATCATGCCCATGCCCAGAGCGGTAGAGATTTCAGCACTTGCCGAAGGTTGGGATCCTGAACCCACGGCGAGTTGGTCCTTAACCGGACCTTGCTCACGCTGGGTCTCAGGCGCGTGCCAGGTTACCTGCAGCGACGCTGACACTCCCAAGTCGGCAGGCACCGTGGATGCTTGCCCAAGGACCATAACTCCGTGGCCTTTAACTTTCGAGTAAGCACGTGTCGTTCGGGGCTTGCGGATGCACTACCCGCCCCCATGGAAAGCAATGCTGAACTTCGACAGTGCGCTGTCCCCTTATTAATATTATCCGGAGGCACTGAGAACCTGAGAAGTGTTCCTGTTTGGCTAAATTTTGACAACGTGTTTGGGGGCAAGGGTGACAACGAGGAGGAGGAGAGGCTGGGAATTGCAGAGAAGCGTGAAAGGCAGAAAGAAGCAAAGGAGAGAAATAGATCTTGTTTAAAAGAAGAGCGCGCACGCAAATGAGAGGCGCGTTAGTAAGATATCTGTCATCGCTTAAGGAAATTAACAAACCACAACAATTTAACGTCTCCTCCGATTGTGGATTTGTGATCAGACAAAGAAAGGAAAACCCGGTCGAAATGAAAGGACAGTAGATCTCTGCACATGTTTCAGCACT